TAAAAAAAAAAAATATTTTTGAATTTCAACTCCAGACTAATTTATCTTTTCCCAGCAAGAAATTCGAATCTGGAAAAGGATCCTTACAGATTGCAGAGAGCAAATAATATCATATATGAAGGCTAGAGAAAATAGCTTGATAGTAAATATGACGAGATGTGTACAGTGATGCAAGAATGAAATGTTCAAACGATCAATAAACATGAGCATAAACATGAAACTGTTTGTAATAAATGGGAAAACGAAAAACGAAAAAAGATAATTTCGAATTTTTAAATTCTGACAGTCATCTCTGTCGAGATCAGGAGATCAAGCCAAAAAGAAAAGAAAATATATTGAATATAAGGATCCTATAGAACCACAGAGTGAAACATCATATGTGGTGTGTGTGTGTGTGTGTGTGTGTGTGAGAGAGTGAGAGAGAGAGAGAGTGACAGACAGACAGTGACACAGTGAGGATGTATTCTCACCGGACTTATTCAACTCATACAGAGAGGCAATTCTGAGAGAAATGGAAATCCTACTAGGATTCATCATTGGCGGCCACAATCTTGACATAAGATACGCAGATGACAAAAAGCTGATAGCAGACACGGAAAGGAAACTACAAAACCTCCTACAGAAGGTAACAAGGTTGAGTGAAGAGACTAAGTATAAACTACAAGAAGACAGAATGCATGGCCATCAGCAAAAAGATGAGCCGAAAATACAATTTACAGGCCGGGGATACTATAAGGAACACAGGGAGACAACACGATAACTGCAAATGTTATGGAAACTCAACGTAACAATCGTGACTATAATGGAATCCTGGAACAGTTTTAAACACCCTTGCTAAATAATTTTAAGAATGACAAATTAAATATATAACTAGAATTATTCAAACCTACGATTGTTGAAATTGACAAAAATCTCGAGGAAAGTGGAAGAGAAGGTGAGTAGACTTGTTTTCACTTAGTCTCCAACAATGGCCACCCGCAGAAAACCTTTTGTGTGAAAATATTTCAGTTTTTGTTTTTTTTCCGTTTTTTTTTTCTCTCAACAAAAGCAAGTATAAGTTGCGCAATGTCGGCAATATTTTTAAAAGGTTGGCAGATCTTAAACATCAAGAGGAAATATCTCTTTTCTCCATGACTGACTTGCATACGTTCCATTGTATGAATATTAAAAATTTCCTTTTCCGATTAAAATTGGCGACCGTAACAGATTCTTTCACCTGAGTACTTGAAAAACCAGCTGCATTACATTTTTTTGTTAGTTCTGACTTTTAATGCTTATACAAACAAGTCCGCACCTACTTTCCTGGACTTATTGCACTATTTTTTAATCAAGATATCAACTTATGACACATACACAACTTGAAAATATTTTACAATGACTTTTTTTTAATGATTTCACCCAAACAAGGCTTTAATGCCACTTGACAAAATCCAGTGAAGGATCTGAGATGTAATCGGTCCTGATCTGACATCTCAACTTCAGTCACTTTCTCACAGATGTTGCGTGGCTTCCCTCTGTCTTTTCGACAAATATTTTCATGGTAATTGCTACGAGGGGCCTTTTTCCCTGGTGCTACATTATTTTTTAAACATGTTAAATTAATTTAAGCGTGCTACTAGATTGGCATCTAGGTCCCGCCCTTTTGCCGTTAAAATAGCTAAATGCAAGTGCCCCTTCTACTCCGAGAATTTTTCTCGTACTTCTCACCCTATCGTTTACTTGCTACCCTGATAACTCTAAACTTTCAAAAATTTAAATGCAGTGTTTTTTTTTCATTTTGTAAGAGTAGTGGCGTTCAAGAAATGTTATTACTTCTCAGGTTTTGAAATAAGGAAAATGAATAATGCAGAACATTGCTTTGATTTTTTCGTTTGAGTCGAACTCTTGCTGTCACCATGATTATTATAGATGTTATTATAGATGTTATTATAGATGTTATTATAGATGTTATTATAGACACAAATTACTCTTTTCGACATCTTCAGGTTCCCAAAAGATAATTCAGGCAACCTTTTTGAGCAGAGGGTCACGTGATCTATGGCTAATCACAAGGGCCGCACTACTAAAAAGGTTCAAAGTAAAAAAAATAGTACTAAAAAGATTCAATGAAAACATAGTACTAAAAAGAGTCAAGGTAAAAAAATAGTACTAAAAAGATTCAAGATAAAAAATAGTACTAAAAAGATTTAATGTAATTTTTCGTAGCAGATACCTCAGCTATTTTCCATATAAAAAACTATTTGCGTAAAGACATGATAAATTAGGTCTTGGTTATTGTTGTCTTTCTTTTCAACGTTTCCTTTTTTTCTTCTAGTTCGGCTGGTCATTTGGATTTGGGGATTATTGTTCCGTCTCTGACAATGGATCCCCAGAGATTCCTGTCCATTGCATTGGATTCCCACCTGTTGATGTCAATGTTACATTTCTTCAGGTTTTGTTTTAGAATGACCTTGAATCTCTTCTTTTGACCTCCTCTTTTCCGATTTCCTTCTTTGAATTGGGAATAAAAGATTTGTTTTTGGTAAACGTTTGTCACCTCTTCGTATCAGATGTCCACTTCATCGAAGTTGAATTTGTTATAATGATGCCTTCAATGCTGGTCATTTTAGCTTGTTCCAGGACGCCGACGTTAGTTCTCCTGTCTTCCCAATTGATGTTCAAGATACTTTGAAGAGATCGCTGGTGAGATTTTTCAAAGAATTTCAGATATCATCGATAATTTGTTCAGGTTTCAGAGGCAAGCAGGAGGGAGTTGGAATCACGACTCCCTTGTGCATTAACATTTTGGTGTCCGTTCTGATGTCACGGTCTTCGAGAAAAACTCTATTTCGAAGGTGAACGAAAGCTGATCCTGCATATTTGATACCGTGTTGTGTCTCATCTTGAAAGTCAATGCTAGAAGACAGATGGCTACCAAGATAAAAAAAAAGGTGATCCACATTGCCCAATACTGTTTCACCATGTTGGTTCTGTGTGGACTGTTTCAGCTGGTGATGGTTGACAGATGGGATTTTTGTCTTATTTGCGCTGATTCTTAGTCCAAGTTTGGTGTACGCATTGTTGAAGGCATTCAGTATTATTTTCAGGTGCGATTCAGAAAGTGCTGCAACATTGTTGTAATCTGCATATTTAAACTTGATCAATGAACTTACTGATGTGTTGGAGTGAAAACGGGCAAAATTAAATAATCTAGTGTTTGTCCTTTAGACAATCTTAATCCTTTGAGGAAGATTATCTTTTATGATGTCAGTCATTGTTGCAATGAAGATGTTGAACAAAGTTAGAGCAATGTCACATCCTTGTTCCTTTTTTGATTTCATTTTCTCTAAAACTTCGTCATTGCTCACATGTTCAGTTCATGGTATTCTCAGCATCCTTCTGTAGAATCATATCTTGTTCGTTTATTTTGAATGCCTTCAAAACGAAACTGCTCTCTTTTAATCGTCTTCGAGAACCATTTTACCTTCCATCAGCATGGCTGATGCTAACCGCAAGGTGAATGACTCATTGCACTTTCTCCTGTTAACGTTGTTAGGTCTGCTGCAAAGGAACGTTGGTTCACTGTGTCGTATAGACAATTATTCTCTTCTAGACTCTATCTTACATATTTAAAAGTCTATCGTTCTCCCATGAATTGAATATTACTGTTATATCTGGTCTGGTGCTTCTGTTACGTATTTAGAGATTCAGAATAAAATCCAAAGAAATGTCTGCTGTATTATTAGTCCTGAACTGGCATCTCGGCTTCAGTCACATTCACACCGCCGTAACATAGATTCCCTATGACTTTTCTATTAAACTTTTCATGGTAATTGTTTTGATGAACTTTCTTTTAGAGATTTGTGAAAATATATTATCATTTCATCCCAAATGATATTTTCTAAAATCCCGAAGAATGAAAATAATACAAATAATAATTTCATCTTTTTATTTGTGCAAGTCTTTATGCAAGTACAAACTATTTGATCAGAAAACTTTCATCAGATATGAAAGCTCAGAATAGGTTAAAATCGGCAAGTCTTTTCAGTTAGTTATAGGATTTTTTTCTTGGTTCATGTCGCTGATTAACTGGAGTGAAAAGAAAAAGCGGGAAACAGTTAAATTATAAACAACGTTATTTTTATTTCCTGTCATGGAAAAACCAATTACTTGACTTTAAAAAAAAATTCTAATATCTTTATTGGCAATAAACCGTATTACATCTATGGTAATTATATTGTACAGAATTTTTTAATACAGGATATGACTCAAAACATTATTCAGAAGGTTGTCACTTAAAAAATGCATTATAAACTAGCGTATTGTGTTGTAGTATCTGCGTTTTTTTAGCGCTCATTTAAATATTCTTGCTTTTGATAGTTGTCTTAGACTCTGCAAACGTCCTGCAAATTGTTAAATAGCATAGTGATCATATCTACTAATGCAGTATGCATTGGGCTAACCTCAGATCATGCCAGAATTTACACCCCGTGACCTTTAAAGTAGCCAGTTACAGTGTTGACCTTAGAGGTGAACTCCCAGGCGATTCACACGATTTTCAGTGGCTGACCCGGCATGTGAACACGTGATCAACCCAGCTGTACCTGTGATATGCGCACGGGAAAAGCCATAAAATAGTCGGATATATAAACACTCACCATAGAGAAAGACTGGCAGTCTCTCTTATATCGCGGAAGAGAATGTATGTTTGGGTGAGCACCCCCATCCTGCACATATACTGGCCGGCAGTAATTGACGAAGTTCAAAGTTGAATCAAATGCAATTTTAAGTATGAAAGATTCAGCCTCGCGTTTTCATTAGTCAGAAAGACGATAATATGGCAATCCTTCACTTAAGCGGTGTAAAAATAAACTGCTATTTCCTGAACGGCGTAAAATTAATAAAGCCGCGGTATATATATTTTGATCACAATTAAGCCTTATAAGAACGGGTAATGGGGGACTATGCAGCAAATAAATACTGAAAATACGGGACTGTTCTTGTACCGCAGGATTTAGAAAATGCTGCTGATGAACAAAGATGCCATGAGAGTTTCTCCCGCGGTTGATTTCCTCAGTTATAGCATAAGCAGCCCAACCATCGGAAACAATATGGCTTCCAGGCTGAATGTATACCGCGACACAATCGCTACTTTCAGAGTCTCTGTTCGCCGATCTAGCACCTCAACTAAGAAATACTTTCCCAAAACCTGTTCCATACCAGCGAATGGCCAGTGCGTCATTGCCCACGGTGACATTTACGATGAAAAAACATTTAAAAATATCAAATTTATTCCACGCCGTTTAAGTGAAGTACAACTTTGACATTATTTTACGCTACTTATGTGAAGGATTATCGGTAATATTATAATTCTATTAAGCTGATATTTGACTTTTGGTTAAGTAATAACTAATTTATAAGACAAACAAGTTGGCTCTTGTTTTTTCTGTATAGTCCACTAACAATTAGCGCTAAGAAACCATCACATTTTATATTAGGTTGAGTCATAAGAAATTTCCATTTTGAGGGAACCAGTTGTAATGACAGGTATAACATTAACCTTTGATTAAATATATCTTAGCAGGTGATGAAAAATGAGAAACATACGACAATGTTCAACGGAAATGATAATGAACTGACACAGATAAATCTTCACAATCAACCCCCAAAACTGAACAAAGTAATATAAGCAAAGTAATGTGTGTATGTAAGGATCTTCGGGGAATTGTTTATCCGAAGCTCTTAAAACACATTGAAGCACTAAATATATATTTATATGTTCAGCGGCTGCAATGTGCCCATAAACGCTCCATCGAAAAGCGCCCTGCGTTCGTCAATAGAAAAAATCTTGTTCTCCTGCATGACAATGCAAAGCCGCATCCAGCAAGAATAACTCAGGTAACAATTTTGGAACTTGCTTGGTCTGTTCTATTGCATCTGCCATATTCACCTGAACACCCGCACCAACTTATTATTAGTTTTTTTTTTGATCGATGCAAATGATGTGGAAATCTTTCTCTAATGAAAACCTGACTCAAGGCTTTGTCCAAAACTTTTTCACATCAAAACCTGCGGCATTTTATTCAAAATGTATCGAAGAGCTGCCTGATAAGTGGCAAAAATCATTGCAAATAATATATCTAAATAAGTCTGTTTGTCCATCCGTGTGTCTGAAACCCCCTCTAACTCATGCCACACTTACTCTACATAGACATATTATACCGTTTTGGAATTAGGATGATCCTCGGATTGATAATCCTCCCATCACCTGGTGCTTGAACATTAGGATTTGTGTCCGGATGAGAAAAGAACAGTTAAAAATTCAAATTTTAAAATAACTGAAATAATTAGTTATTTTAAAAGTTTTAAATTTATATTGAGTTTAAAGTAACACAAAAACTTTGTGAATTTAACCTTTTTTGTTTTAAATTCAGTTTAAAATATCTCCAAAACTTTGTGAATTAAGGAAATCAATTGTAATTCTTCAAAATACCAAAGAATCAGAGTTAATGTGACAGGTTTCGTGACGTGAGGTTTTGAAATTCCGCGATTTGTGATTTGAAGAACACAACTCAATTGAAATACTATGGAGTTTATAATTTGAAGAATTCAGTTTTCGGCCTGAAATGGAATTTTGGTTCAAATCGGTCTTTTGGTCAGAATTGGATTTATATCCGAATCAGAGTTAAATTGAGATTTTGAAGTTCCATGGAGTGAATTGAGGAATACAAAATTATTTCTTCAAAATTATCATTGTTGTTTTCTAAGTTGAACCAAAGGTCCTTTTAGTTTTTTGGCCGGCGGCCCAAGTATCCCTACGCGGAAGCTAGCTTACAAGTCCACACGGAGTGCAGCTTTTAAGCTCGTAATTGAATAAAATGTAATTGTGCTCTATTTTTTGAAAAACAAAGTAGATAAAAAAGGAAATTATTTATGCTCAACCAAATACAAAACATTCTTATAGAATTTAATTTATAAACTCAAGGCCAGTTAACTTGAACCACCGAAGGCAAAATATTTCACTTATTCATTAGGTTCAATTAAAAGTTTCTAACGTCATCTTTTTCATGTTAGGGAAGACTCAGAAGTGTCTAAAGGCTGTATTACTTAGGTAAAACTATGAAAAATTCAGATTGCAAGAAAAAATACTTCCATTATTAACGAAGAATGATCAGTTTTTAAATATTTATAATTGTTTTCTTCCTTAGCACAAAAAGTCGCTTCTGAAGGATAGTCGCCAACTGAAACGACGGCTTAACTTTTGCGCCTCTTGCCAGATTGTCATTTTATCCCTCAATAAGCGTTCAAATTACCACTCGTAAAGAGCATACAACTAAGATTTGTAACACTATAGTACCAATAATTGGTACGTTGTGATAATGTAACTTACTAAACTTACGTACCAGCTCATTATTATTATTATTATTATTATTATTATTATTATTATTATTATTATTATCCGTTTTCAACAGGGGGTGTTGAATTACGGAAGTTCTCTATGAAGTCGTATAATAGCAGACAGAGAGAATATTTGCAGTGCCAAGCAATGCAGAGGTTTGAAGCAAAGGATATTGGCCTTTATTCCGATTTTCTCAATATAAGACTTTAAGTTCCAGTGGCATAGCGCCAACTACAACCCCGGAAGTCGGTGGATTTCTTGAGCTTATCAAGTTCTTTAAACCTTGATATTCTGATCACTAGTTACAGCCACGTTAATGAAGAGTCATTTTCTTGTCTTTTTTGTCAAAAAAGTAAATTTGTAAATACAAATTTCAAATGGACATTTTAAATGTATACATCGACACAATATATATATATATATATATATATATATATATATATATATATATATATATATATGCATAAAATATGTTTTTAAAAGTCGTAGTGCAATTCTGTACCCCCCACACAAATTATTTAAATTTAGTTTTTTCCTCGATTTGGTACATACTTCCTTCGGATGGAAAAAGTATTGTGTGGAACATTCAAGTGAAGAGGTTCTTTCGGCTTCCCTGGAAAATCAGCATTTGAGTTTTGTCTTGGCTTGAACACTGACGCCTAGTATCGAGGGGATAACTAGAAATATTTCAGCCACCAAATATATTAGTCTGGAATCCAGTGAGGATCCAACTTAATCCAACAACAAATATCTTTCTACCACTCTACGGTAGGTGTCAATTATGTATAATAAAATAACTCAAGTATTATAAACTAGAATTAGTATGACACAAGGCCAGGGATTAAACTTACGACTTAGTGATAATAATCTGGGAAACAATTTTACCAATTATTTGTATTTACTCCCCACCCACGAGATCAAGTTATGACACAAGGTCGGTTTAATGTGGTGAGCCCGAGCACGTACACCCGGGATAGGCTAGGAACAAAAATTGCCCGAGACCCCGCAACCGTCGTTTGCGCTGGCCTCGGTGCGAACACCGATCCCTATCTCTGGTGCAATGAGAGGGAGCGCCCTCGTGCAGCTGTTCCCCACGGCTGAGCACCTCTTAGTATAATTTTCCTCAGTTGTGACTTGTGTCTATGCAGTGAAGGTGATCAAAAACGACAAAGATCTTGTGAGATTGTAACATCCAAACAGACCGCATCCTTGAAGCCACCAAACCAGACTTCACCGCCATTGCCAAAGAAATAAGTAAATGTTTTTTCATTGACTTACCATGATCAAAGAAATTGACAAACACAAGAAATGCACCGACCTCCAGGTTGAAGTTGTCAGAATGTCGGATATTCATACCACTATTACCTCAGTTATCACTGGAATATGGGGGTCTATATCACCAAACTATATCGAGAAAATAGATATAAAACTGAGTGTCCCATTTGTTTCAAAAGACTTCGTGGCTTGCCTCTGCAAATATTTCGCGAAAGATGATCCGTTTGAGTCTGTACGACTTGATGGAGGGCAGCTATAATAAGAGATCTACAGTACGAAAGAAGTGAATAATAATAATAATAATAATAATATTCTTTTGTATTCCTTCTTAATAGTAATAATAATAATAACACTGTCCAACAAAATTTAACTTTTTTCGACTACAGAGATGCTAGCGTCGTTTTCTGGCGTCGTTTTGAGTGCAGATTAAACAGTTAAAAAAAGACAATGAATTTGAAGCAACATTAAACGAATTGGAATTTGATGCCTGGAAAAGTTTCAAAGACGTGTGTAATGGTCCCCTTGGAAGGCACAATGCGCCAAATTACGAAATACGATATCAAAATACGATTGAAGGATATCAACATTTAAGATGCACTTATGTCACTAAAGGTGCATTTTTTTTTTTTTGCACACTCACATCTGTCCTACTTCCCGGCAAACGCAGCAGTAGTCACAGTGAAGAAACATGGTGAAAGGAGATTTCACCAAGATATTGTCAAAATAGAAAATCGTTATCAAGGCAAATGGAGTCCTGATATGCGAGATGATTTTCTTGCTGGACTCTTCATAGAGACAGGCCAGTTGCTAAACATAGAAAAAAGCATAAATACTAAATAAAGTAATTTTTTTTTTAGTAAAAATGTTCTTTTAATAAATAAGCCTGTGTTTTCTTATATATTTTTTAAATTAAATAAAACGTTTATAGGGACATGTTTAATACCTAGACTCATAAAGCTAAATTTTTCTATATTTGGAAGAATTTAATTTGTAAATTAAAATAAAAAGGAGTCATATCGTGAAAAATGGAGTTCATTTTTGTGATCGACTATAAAACGCTTAGAAAACTGCATTCTTGTTACAGTAGCAAAATCATTATTGGACACTGAATTATTATTGTTCATATAATCACCCTGTTTTGTTAGTGACACTTTGCTGGCTTTAATTCCTGACGTCTGACAATCATTCCCTTTCTTCAATGTGTTACATACAAAAGGTATGTTCAAACTTACCATGGCGAATTTACGTCAAAGATTGCAAAATTCAGTAATTAATCGCAATCGCTTCTTACCTGTCACGAAGCGTTTACTTTAACAATGTAGAAAATTGCTAAAATTAAGTAGGGGAGTAATAGTGTAACGATATAGACAGTGGAGAAGGGATAAAAACATCTGAAAACTTGCTCAACTCTCTCTTTCACTATATATTTATATAGTGAAAGAGAGAGAGAGAGAGAGAGAGAGAGAGAAGAGGGGGTGGGGGGAAGCGAATTTATACAAATATAAAGTTCGTTACTTAGCTGATTGGTGTTACCTTCAGCATCCCGACTCCAGATTTTCGCAGACGGACCCCTCCCCAGCCCTCACCCCATCCACTCGTCAGGAGGTATCAGAAATTGTTTATATTTCTCTTTATATATATATATATATATATATATATATATATATATATATATAAACACATTTCATTGATGCATGGTTAATTTTTTCCTTTCATAATGTGTGCGTGTGTGTGTGAGTGTGTGTGTACGCGCGTGGGCGCGCTCAATCCACCCTCCGTGCGTATGTGCGTACGTATGAAATACCGTGCTTAATTATCCTTTTCCTCGTTTTTCTTGTTACTTCATACATCCGCCTTATTGGTTTTAGACTTTTTCACTTTCTTTCAGTTATAGCAATACTGACATCCAGTTTTCCAGACATTCACTGTTCTTGGTAATTCTTAAGCATTCTAATGTTTTCATGACTTTGGAAAATTAAATTGTATTACTTTTCTTACATAAATATTTTTTTATTTTAAAATCTTTTTTTATTAATGCTTAAATGATAAGCTAAATATTTATATATGTCTTCACTTGGCTATTATTTCGTTTTTCTTATTTGGTTTGGCGGTATCTTAAGTTTTATGATGTTAATTATAGGAGGTTAAGTTTATAATTAAATTTTTATTTAGTGTTGTTTGAATATGTATACATGTGCTTACGTTCGTACAGTCACACGAATACATTTATGTAAATGTATATAAGTATATGTATCTGTGCGTATGTGCATATACATACACATATATACGCAAACACGCGTACACAAACACGTGCACACGTTTTAATTTCACAGTAAAATTAAAAAATTTCAAATTCTAAATTAAACCGAGCATTAGGTTGAAAATATAACAAAGATATTCAAAAATGGAACGGTCCTTACTCCGATCACGACAGCGGGCCTCCCCTTTTTCTTTTTTTCTTTTTTAGAGTTTTAATTCCTTTATCTTGTCAAGCCAGATTAACATTAACTTTCATGCTCATCCAACTGAGACTTTTAGGCCGCCTCAAATCCCAGCCTCGTCTAAGATTACTTGAGAAATTCAGTAGATTCCAAATCTTTAAAAGGTGAACAACGCCGTGTCCTGTTGCATAAAGAAACGTGTTACTTTGTTCGTGAACGATGTTCATTGTTTTATGAAATTATGTGCAAATATAAGATACTAAACGGAAATTAATGATAAGAATGAAATCATTTGTTATCACAAATGTTTGGGTCTAATTGCTAAATACGAATTTAAAGTATCTTGTCAATTTTCAACAAAGCTTAAATAATTATTAAAAAAGGATTAATATTAGCGACCCTCCACAAAAGACGCAATACCTAACATTTAAAAGCAATTTTAAAAAATCTTCCTTGAAATTTTTATTTACAATAAGCAAAATACTTTACTGTATTTCAAAAACTAATTTAAATTGACTGGAAGGTATTTTTTTCTAAGATAGCCATCCTTTTTAGTCGTCTTTCATCGCGATGCAATTCTCTATATTAAAAATCTTCCAAAAATAAAATATACTTTTTTAAAACTTAATTTGGGGAATATGAGCTGATTTAAGGTATAATTAATCTGATTTGAAACAAATATTATTTACTTTAAGTTTAAACTATCGCCGAAATGCATTTTAACCCGACAGTAACTGTATTGATATGCTGACAGCGTGATGACAGATCTAAGGTTGTTCTATGGAGACTTTATCTGTAAAACAACTGAAAAAAATGACGTTAAGGTCCTTTTTATATAATTTTTAAGTACTCAGTGATCTTAAAAAATTAGGAAATCAATCAATTTTTTTATTGAATTTTAGAAATTTTAACTTTAAATTTACTATAGTTATCGCTCTTATTTTTTGTTAATGTCGTATAGTAAATATAGTTTTCACTTAATAATAAAATCATCTAAATGGCTGAAATTGAAATGAAGAGGCAGGAATTCTAATTTCTCTAAATTTCAGGATATTATCCTAACTGCGGGTAACAGATGTAAAAAAAATATATATTTTTACCAAAATTTTCTAAAAAAGAAAATTAAGTTAAATAAAAATAACTCAAAAATAATTTCATTCATTTGTGAATAAGTCCTGAAAATGTAATTATGATTCGTCAATTATTTTGATTTTCGCAAGAATTTGCAAAATAATGTATTTTTACCATTAAAAAGACGCTAAAAATCCCTATATTAATTTTTGGCCCATCCGTTGACGCAATACAAACAAGATTTTGAATCAAAATTTTGAACGTGCTAGAAAGAATTAAAAATAAAATAAATAAAATAATCAAAAAAATACTTTCGTCTTTCCTCTTAATAACATAAAAATTTTGACGATAAAACTGTTTTTATCAAATTTGGGGCCTTTTTTCATCATGGTACGTTCTTTTTTTTTTAGGAAAGTTTTGGTGATATCTTGTTAATATTTAAATTGGGAAAATAAGATGGAAAGTGCTATTAATTCTAGGCAGCTTAAAATTTCGGAAGTTGTATTTATACGTGGATCGTAAGGTTTTCACTGCATTGGTCGTACACGTTTAAAGTTATTTCCAGACAAAGAACCAAGTCTAAGGAAATGTAAAGGGAATTTTATGCTAACTCATCGACATCACTGTACAAGACGTATTTAGGAACAATCTCTTTGTAAGACACAAGAGAAATTTGAACTCATTTTCTTCTGTTAGTAAAAAAAGAGAGAATGTCCTATATATCGAAAAGATTAGGAGTGTTCGGAAAGTAATGATGAAAGAAAGGATATTTAATAGAAGAAATACGAGTTAAATTTGTTTCAATATCATTTATCAAAAATGTATTCACCTTCATTTTCAACGATTGCAGCTTGGTGGAAAGGCAAATCTTTGATTCCAAATTTGAGAAAAACTGTTTTACGCGAAAAAGAAGAAAGAAAGGCTGTTTTTAATTTCTTTGTTTCCCAATGTTTGGCCACTTATGAAATATTCAAATGATTGAAACAAGCGAAAATCTGTTCCTGTTAAATCTTGTAAATATGGAGGATGTAGATAAACCTTTCATCCTAAATATCTTTTTTTTTCTGAGGCTTGGTTTTGCCGAGTGATCCCTTGAATTGTCATACTGGGGAATAACACATTATCTCTTTACCAAAATAAGATACTTTCGACGTAGTGCTTCGTTTATTCACTTGCTAACAATCAATGTCTACAGTACTTGTCCTTTCGTGTTTCACTTGTTCGTAATGGACGATACCTTTCATATTACATTGGACTCGCATCAAAGGCTTTTGTAGATGGTGTTCCGCTTTTGATGTTGACGCTAGGTTTCATTTTGTGAAAAACCATGTCTTATTTGTTTTCTGTTGACTACCCATGTTTGAGCACTTTAAGAAAGCGGCGTAAAATTAAAAGGTTGACATTCCTGGATGAAGATGGTTCAGCTTTATGTTCGGTTCACAAGTAAAAGCTCATGAAGAAACCAAATTTTTTAAACCAGAACGAAAAGCTCATCAAGAAACCAAATTCCCTAAACCAGAACGAATAGCTCATGAAGAAACCAAATACTCTATACCAGAACGAAAATCTCAAGAAGAAACAAAATTCCCTATAACAGAACGAAAATCTAAAAAAAAAACCAAATTCTCTAAACCAGAACGAAAAGATCATAAAGAAACCAAATTCCCTAAACCAGAACGAATCCAAATTTCCTATAGCAGGACGAAAAGCTCACGAGGAAAGCAAATTCCTTAAACCGGAACGAAAAGCTCATGAAGAAACCAAATTCTCTAAACCAGAACGAAAACCTCAAGAAGAATCCAAATTCCCTATACCAGGACGAAAAGCCCACGAGGAAAGCAAATTTCTTAAACCGGAACGAAAAGCTCATGAAGAAACCAATTACTCTAAACCAGAACGAAAAGCTCATGAAGAAACCAATTTCTCTAAGCCAGAACGAAAAGCTTATGAAGAAACCAACTTCCTTAAACCGGAACGAAAAGCTCATGAATAAACCAACTTTCTTAAACCGGAATGAAAAGCTCATGAAGAAACCAAATTCCCTAAACCAGAATGAATAGCTCATGAATAAACCAAATTCGCTAAACCAGAATGAAAAGCTCATGAAGAAACCAAATTCCTTAAACCGGAACAAATAGCTCATGAACAAACCAACTTCCTTAAACCGGAACGAAAATCTCATGAAGAAACAAACTTCCTTAAACCAGAACGAAAAGGTCATGAAGTAACCAACTTCCTTAAACCGGAACGAAAAGCTCATGAAGAAACCAACTTCCTTAGACCGGAATGAAAAGCTCATGAAGAAACCAAATTCCCTAAACCAGAATGAACAGCTCATGAAGAAACCAAATTCCCTAAACCAGGAAGAAAAACTCACGAGGAAAGCAAATTCCTTTAAGCGGAACGAAAAGTTCATGAAGAAACGAAATTCCCTAAACCGGAACGAAAATCTCATGAAGAAACCAATTTCTCTAAACGAGAACGAAAAGCTCATGAAGAAACCAACTTCCTTAAACCGGAACGAAAAGCTCATGAAGAAACCAACTTCCTTAAACCGGAACGAAAAGGTCATGAAGAAAAAAAATTTCCATAAACCGGAACGAAAAGGTCATGAAGAAACTAACTTCCTTAAACCAGAACGAATAGCCCATGAAGAAACCAAATTCCCTAAACCAGGACGAAAAGCTCACGAGCAAAGCAAATTCCTTAAACCGGACTAAAAGTTCATGAAGAAACGAAATTCCCTAAACCGGAACGAAAATCTCATGAAGAAACCAATTTCTCTAAACCAGAACGAAAAGCTCATGAAGAAACCAACTTCCTTAAAACGGAACGAAAAGGTCATGAAGAAACCAACTTCCTTAAAGCAGAACGAATAGCCCAAGAAGAATACAAATTCCCTATACCAGGACGAAAAGCTCACGAGTAAAGCAAATTCCTTAAACCGGGACTAAAATTTCATGAAGAATCCAAATTCTCTAAACCCTAACGAAAAGCTCATGAGGAAACTAATTTCTCTAAACCAGAACGAAAAGCTCATGAAGAAACCAACTTCCTTAAACCGGAACGAAAAGCTCATGAAGAAACCAACTTCCTTAAACCGGAACGAAAAGGTCATGAAGAAACCAACTTCCATAAACCGGAACGAAAAGGTCATGAAGAAACCAACTTCCTTAAAACAGAACGAATAGCTCATGAAGAAACCAAATTCCCTAAACCAGGACGAAAACCTCAAGAAGAATCCAAATTCCCTTTACCAGGACGAAAAGCTCACGAGGAAAGCAAATTCCTTTAACCGGAACGAAAAGTTCATGAAGAAACCAAATTCCCTAAACCGGAACGAAAATCTCATGATGAAACCAATTTCTCTTAACCAGAACGAAAAGCTCATGAAGAAACCAACTTCCTTAAACCGGAACGAAAACTCATGAAGAAACCAACTTCCTTAAGCCGGAACGAAAAAGGTCATGAAGAAACCAACTTCCTTAAACCAGAACGAATAGCTCATGAAGAAACCAAATTCCCTAAACCAAGACGAAAAAACTCAAGAAGAATCCAAATTCCCTTTACCAGGACGAAAAGCTCACGAGGAAAGCAAATTCCTTTAACCGGAACGAAAAGTTCATGAAGAAACCAAATTCCCTAAACCGGAACGAAAATCTCATGATGAAACCAATTTCTCTAAACCAGAACGAAAAGCTCATGAAGAAACCAACTTCCTTAAACCGGAACGAAAACTCATGAAGAAACCAACTTCCTTAAGCCGGAACGAAAAGGTCATGAAGAAACCAACTTCCTTAAACCAGAACGAATAGCTCATGAAGAAACCAAATTCCCTAAACCAAGACGAAAAACTCAAGAAGAATCCAAATTCCCTTTACCAGGACGAAAAGCTCACGAGGAAAGCAAATTCCTTTAACCGGAACGAAAAGTTCATGAAGAAACCAAATTCCCTAAACCGGAACGAAAATCTCATGATGAAACCAATTTCTCTAAACCAGAACGAAAAGCTCATGAAGAAACCAACTTCCTTAAACCGGAACGAAAACTCATGAAGAAACCAACTTCCTTAAGCCGGAACGAAAAGGTCATGAAGAAACCAACTTCCTTAAACCAGAACGAATAGCTCATGAAGAAACCAAATTCCCTAAACCAAGACGAAAAACTCAAGAAGAATCCAAATTCCCTTTACCAGGACGAAAAGCTCACGAGGAAAGCAAATTCCTTTAAGCGGAACGAAAATCTCATGAAGAAACCAATTTCTCTAAACCAGAACGAAAAGCTCATGAAGAAACCAACTTCCTTAAACCGGAACGAAAAGCACATGAAGAAACCAACTTCCTTAAACCGGAACGAAAAGCTCATGAAGAAACCAAATTCCCTAAACCAGAACGAATAGCTCATGAAGAAACCAAATTCCCTATACCAGAACGAAAACCTCATGAGGAAACCAAATTCTCTCAACCGGAACGAATCTCTCATGAAGAAACCAAATTCCTTAAACCGGAACGAAAAGCTCATGACGAAAGCAACTTCCTTAAACCGGAACGAAAACCTCAAGAAGAATCCAAATTCCTTATACCAGGACAAAAAGCTCATGAAGAAACCAAATACCCTAAACCAGAACGAAAAGCTCACGAAGAAACCAAATTCCCTAAACCAGAACGAATAGCTCATGAAGAAACCAAATTCCATAAACCAGAACGAAAATCTCATGACGAAAGCAACTTCCTTAAACCGGAACGAAAAGCTCATGAAGAAACCAAATTCCCTATACCATATCGAAAAGCTCATGAAGAAACCAAATTCCCTAAACCAGAACGAATAGCTCATGAAGAAACCAAATTCCCTATACCAGAACGAAAACCTCATGATGAAACCAAATTCTCTCAACCGGAACGAATCTCTCATGAAGAAACCAAATTCCTTAAACCGGAACGAAAAGCTCATGACGAAAGCAACTTCCTTAAACCGGAACGAAAACCTCAAGAAGAATCCAAATTCCTTATACCAGGACAAAAAGCTCATGAAGAAACCAAATTCCCTAAACCAGAACGAAAAGCTCATGAAGAAACCAAATTCCCTAAACCAGAACGAATAGCTCATGAAGAATCCAAATTCCCTAAACCAGTACGAAAATCTCAAGAAGAAACCAAATTCCTTAAATCAGGACGAAAAGCTCACCAGGAAAGCAAATTCCTTAAATTTCACGAGGAAAGCACATTCCTTAATCCCGAAAGTTCATGAGGAAATTAAATTTCTTAAATTAGTTTTCTCAATTCGACTGAGATGTTCGTGGACAGTTGAATATGTCATATTATGTTTTGCGTTTAATCTCTGGGTAAGATCTTTTGCACTACCGTATTATCGTGCCAGTGGCCGCCGAAACTGATCAATTTTTGTCTATCGTCATTTAGTCCGATTGTTCCGACAAAGTAAAACTTGCAATTACTTTCGAAAATGACCTCCGATCAATTGTTAACCGGGGCAAGAAATGGCTTGTAAATTTTAACGCTCCCAAAACGAAATTACTATTTTTTAATCACCATAGAGAACTAATTTTCTCTCCATCAGCATGGCTGATGATCACCTCCATGGGAACAAACTATTTACGCCTTCTTGGTATCACGTTTTTTCCACGTTTTTTCCATGAAGTGGAGTCATTATTTTGAACCAATTGTTAGGTCTACTGCTAAGAATGTTGGTTCATTTTGCAAAATGGATTCTGGCGAGAAAGATTATTTGCCAGACAATTTTTCTCGACAGAATCTATCTTGTATATTTATAAATCTGCTATTCGTCTGTGCATTGAATATTGCTACCATATTTGGTCTGGTGCTCCTGCTATATATCTCGAGATTTTAGACATAATCCAAGGAAGAATCTGTAATGTAATCGTCTCTAACCTGGCATTTCGACTTCAGTTACTTTCCCACCAAAGTGACGTGGCTTCCTTCTGTCTTTTCTATACATATTTTCATGGCAATTGTTTTAATGAATTTAAGCGTACTATGAGGCTGGTTAATCGGTCTCATTGTTGTACTGTTAAAATTGCTAGATGTAACCATAAGTTCTATTCTAATAGTTCCTTTTCTTGCACTTCTCGACTGTAGAACACTTTTCCAGCTTCTCGCTTTCCTGGAATCTACGTTCTTCAAAAATTTAAATGTAACTCCCATCGCCATTTTTTGTCTTTCTGTATTTTATTGTCCTTTTTTCTCACTAAACTTTTCACATCCTCTTTCTCTTCTAGTAACCCTTGCGTCTTAGTCGCATTATCGCCTTGCTTGGGGTGAAATGTGAAAAAAAAAATGCCATAGCCATATGCACCCTCAGGCAATACCTAATCTTTACGAAGGTACTACGACGCCTGAGGGGATTGAGCAGTTTTTTTTTGTTCCTGATCACATGTACGCGTAGGAATTCCATTTGAAATTTGCCTTGTGTCATATTCCGTTAGAGGAGGCGACCGATAAAATATTTATGTATGCATCCCGAATCCCGTAACCCATTAGGGTTGCAGGGGTAGCATATGTACTGCAGTAGTAGTAGTAGCAGTGTTGTTTCCTGGGCAGGATAACCTGACGGGACCCCTAACCCTCTACTGGCTGCTTTTAGAGTTTTCTTTCTCCTATACTATTCGCCAGCCAAAGCTATAGGATCCATCTATATCGCTATTTACCCATATCTGAATGGAGAAGAGATGGATTCATACCTTCTCCAAGGGTATTAGCACGTAAGTGAATGTAATGAACTCGACTGCAATTCGAACTCCTTAATACGAGCCGCTATCCATTACTTCAACTATAATTCACATATATTTCTGTAACTGAAATACAGTCATGCGTCATATCCTAACATCGTGGTATGGGTAGGTAACTACAGGGGAGTGAAGAATTTGTTCGTTCATACTGAAAAACCCTGATATGGTGCTTCTGTTAAAATACTACATTGGAGTTTCAAATAGGCGGGCTGGAACGATTATTTGTTTTGGAGAAAAAATCCACCTTGGAGATCTGTGTTCTATTCACCCCATTTATAAAAATTTTCTCGTCCACCTCTTAATTTAAACTGTGATCATTCCAGGAGAAAGCGTTTCTCTAGTTACATTATTTGCATTCGAACTGATGTCTCGGAATTTCTCGTCTGTACTAATCCATTACATTAGTACTTTACATTACATTAGTACATTACATTAGCAGGACGTTTTACCGTTCACTACAATCTTGACCTCTTCAAGTCTAGAATCAACTGTTATTTTTTCTGCCTAACCCCATGAACTTCACTTCTTGCCTTTTCTTACGCTCATACAACACCTCGCAGTAACCCTCAACCTTGAGTGGCTCTTAGGCCTTACATTGGGTAAACATTAGTATAAAAATCCAGCCCAGGGATGGGCAGTGGAACGAGAATAATCCACCCACCATAGCGTAAATAAAGGGTTCAGTTCGAAATTTTCTGAAGGTTGCCCGTATTGACGAACACCTCAAGAAGGCTAAACTATTGTGATAACAACACAGATGAGTATATTAGTCCGAATGTAAATAGTGATAACTCTTCAGATAGAAAGCGTTTCTACTACAGTCTGTATAGAAATTAATGAAGTCCATGCGGTTTCTTTTTCATCTGAGTTCTGTTATTTACTTATGTATGTGACGCCACCCTGGTCTTGTCCTGTGCTGGTCGCGGCGCCAATTGTGACGCCACCGATCAGTCCTGGTCACGGCCGCCAATTGTGACGCCACCTAACCCTGGGCTGACTGCAGCACCATTTGTGACGATCTAATCCTTGGCTGGTTCGGATGGAAATCTGGTTTACCACAGAACCATGTGTGACACTAACCCCTCTGGTTGTCTTGGTCGCGGTCGATGTCTGGTTAGATTCGATATCAGCTTTGTTGTTCCCAGCTCACCTCCAACGTCTGGTTACCGAAGTAACTGCTTTGATCTCTAGTCTAACCTACCCACGTTGTGATTTGATCTTAGGTAGACGAAATCAATCAGGCGTCGGGCCGTAGTGCAAGCTGAATCCGAGGCAGGGGTAATACCGTACAAGTGTATGTAAAAGAAAAATAATGAAATAAACTCAAGAGGTTCAAATGTGTTGAAAAAATAACAAGTATCTTTATAACTGTCTGCTGAATACAGGAGTGCGTCTTTCTCCCAACCCGCTTCAATGGACCCGTGACACTTTCGCGTTTCTTAGGTGAGTCTTGATATCTTAAGTTGTTTTTCAATAAACTGCTTTTTGGTATCTTCAGGCGATATTCGTTAAAACTTGTTTTGGTGGTGTGAGTCTAAGTCGTTCTTCAACAAAAAAAAGAAAAAAATTGCTTTTGGTTAGAAGTCTAAGTCGGAATACGTGGAATTCTTTCGGTCAGCTCCTGCGAGGCTGGTCTCCGAGCTCAACAGCTCTTTGTCGATCTGCGTGCGTCTCCGATCTCCAACCCAACTCTAACTCAACTGTCTGAAGCTCTGGGGACGTTCGTTTATATGGACGCCGACCAAAACCGGGTCGGGTCCTGTCGTGGTTTGGGTTCTTCGATAATTCCAAATTCCCAATAAGGATTCTCTTTGTCTTCGGACAGGAAAATTTATCACTTCCCATTTTTGGAATTCAATTACTTTCTGTCCTAGAGGGGCTCCACTCCTTCTGTGGGGGGAAGTCTGATGGGAATTATCCTCCTAAACTATTCCTTTCTCATATTGGTATCTCATACCAATCCCTTCAGTGGGCGTCAACAGGTTTCCCTTCTTTCTCATATGTTCACCTTCGCCCATCACTCACGCCACCACTCAGCCAATGAACGCTCGGCAGCGTGGGTGTGGCTAGACTGGCCTCAGTTTACAATTATCGTCCAAAGAAAAAAATATCTTCCCTTTTCTTTCTTTCTTTTCTATCAACCAGAATTCTTATGGACCGCACATCGCGACTATTAAATTTTTATCTTATCCTGGGGTCACCTGGAATTAATTAGCGGAATTTTCGCCGACTCGTTAACTATCACTAGTCAACTATTTAACTGGGTGGTCGACTAAATCTCTTTGTCTTTCTCGTCTCAACACCATCGCACCCTCAGACACCCGCTCTCGGTGACAGAAAGTCTGTCGTTAATAGTTCGAACAGGTAGTAACAATGATTTCCCCTTCTCGACCCTATCTCCTCATGTCAAGATCCGGACATACAACAGATGGGTCTCCTCACTGGACACAAGAACCAAAACCAAATGATATCTCCGAAAGATAATTGGTGGCTATTCCTTTTGGGGTGATCTCCCTGAATTCCTTCTCGGTCGTATGCTTGACCCAGTTTCGATTATCTTCTAGAATTCTGCTTTGTATGGCGCTGACCGAATTGAAATTGTTATTATTGCCACACGTGTGGACAGATTGTTATTCTTTATCGGTATTCTGTTTCCCTTGTCGCGTCATGACATTAATTGATTCTGATAGAATCCAATACCCGCTTTTCTTACGAATTTTCTATCTTCTGTGAAAAAAATACGTTTCTTCGTAAATGAAAATAAAATCTTTACCCATTTTTCTTTTGTTAAAAAAAATAATGTCGCTCGTTATAGCTCTTTCTCGCCTTAAGTATTTCTCGTTTTTAATTTCCATGCTTAATTAGTTAGCCAATTACAATAGCTAAATAGTGTCACATGTATATAATCATACAGTTTTCACCGGAAGAAAAAGAAAGTATTTTCGTCTGCAACGTTATAATCTAACAATCGCACACGGCATGTCTATTAGATGACAATCATTAACGCATAATCAGACGCAATTCATTTCAAAATGGCGCACGTCAAAAGCAAGCAGATTTATAATTTCAACAAACCACTGCTTACAGTTTTGGAATATCTGATATGACCGGATACAATATTCTTCTATGTGCCATCTCCCTTCAGGACGTTGGCAATCATGGCTCTCCACAATTTCCAAGCCCTATTTCCTCATTATGTGCCTGAGAGATTTCAGCTGTCTCTTTCTGATGCTAAGTATGTGTCCTTTTGCTTCCAATTTCTCTAAAACTTCCTTGTTACTCACATGTTCAGTCCATGGTATTCTCAGCATCCTTCTCTAGAACTATACTTCTGTTACCTCAAGTCTCTTCTTCATCTGTGAGGAGATTATTAAGCATTCACCGCCGTATAGGAAGACCGATATTACATGTCAGTTCAGTACTCTTTCCTTTTTTGTTAACGAAATTTTCTTGTTTTCTTGCTAAGCTTTTGGAAGGCATCTTCGTTATCTGAATGCAGGTACAGATTTCTGTGTCGCACTTTCTGTTCTCTGTTAAAACACTTCCCAGATATTTTAAATTTTTGTACTTGTTTGATTTTGTTATCTCCAATTTATATTTTGCATGATCTGTTCCTTTTACTGACAACAATACATTCTATCTTCTTACAATTGATGTTTAGTCCTTTCTTCACGCTTTCCTTTATTACCTTCTGTAAGCTTCCGTTCTGTGTCTGCCATCAACACTGTCACCTGCATATGGCAGGTACGTACATTTATGTGAAGAATCAGCTAGTCAGATAGACAGACAAATAGATAAATGAATAGATATAAACATAGGTAGATAAATGACAAATAAGGAGATAGCAAACAAGCAAAATATACTAAAAAAAACATAAAAACTAAAGATGTAAAGATTACCTAAAAATAGTTTAAATGAAATTATTGTCCATAGTTAAATGATTGGACCCAGAGATCTTCAACTGAACAGACATTTATGCAATGAAACTATTAGACATTTCCCCGAAGACACGAACATATTGATTGTTAATGGGGAAGAAATAAAGATCACAATCATGCCAGTTAACATGGTTCTCGTTTTGAAAAGCAGCTTTCAAAATCCTACCTTGTTCCATATCAGACTATGGTCGCCGGATGGAAAGATGTTTTTGTTTCAACAACCTTGGGAATAAATTGACAAATCACATGATAAGTTAAATAGACCGAAAACAAAATGGATGGAAAGAACAAGTAACAGATGAATAGACACAAAGAAATTCATAGATCGGGATTATTAAAAGAGGTTTATATATATATATATATATATATATATATATATATATATATATATAGAGAGAGAGAGAGAGAGAGAGAGAGAGAGAGAGACAGACAGATTGACAAAGGCAGAGAGGGAAAACACAGACGATAGATATAAATAGATCATTTGAAGATTGAGGTATATATTTTCAAAGATAGATAGATAGATAGATAGATTGTAAGCAGATGAAATAGGTTGATTTGATGACGAGTTAATTTGTTCTAACGAAGCAGATTTTAATCTGTCTTTATCTTAAAGTCAGGTTTAAGTTTACCTGAACCTTTCTTGACGGATTGTCTTACAAGCTTCTCATTAACAAACAAACGAAATCTACAAATAATGAATCTGGGGCAGAGTCCAAGCCAACAATTTCATTAGTGGTCAAGTTTTGTCGCTGCACACGAGTAACACCAACATTCTGGTGTTCATCTTCAGTCCAAGACATCATCTACAAACCTCTTCACGGAACGATTCTCAGCCAACAGAACTTCATTAACCAAACGAAAGTAAAAGAAATGTGGTGATGACAAGAGAATCGATAGTTTGTTTCAGTAATCATTCAAGGCTACGGTCTGTTGCACAATTCTTCTAATTGACCAATCGTACTCAATTTTAAAAAGGTCTTCCCTTACCAAATACAATAAATAATGATTGTCTATGTAGCTTTGTTATCGTTTAAGAACGCACTTCTGTTGTCATTTGAAATTTACAAAATTATCAACATCTTTTGGAACCATACTCACATTTCTTTCCTTCTTTCTTCTTACGTTTCACCTTTTCTTTCTTTCTTTCTTTCTTTCTTGTTACGTTTCACCTTTTCTTTCTTTCGTTCTTTCTTTCTTTCTTTCTTTCTTGTTACGTTTCACCTTTTCTTTCTTTCGTTCTTTCTTTCTTTCTTGTTACGTTTCACCTTTTCTTTCTTTCGTTCTTTCTTTCTTTCTTTCTTTCTTGTTACGTTTCACCTTTTCTTTCTTTCGTTCTTTCTTTCTTTCTTTCTTTCTTGTTACGTTTCACCTTTTCTTTCTTTCGTTCTTTCTTTCTTTCTTTCTTGTTACGTTTCACCTTTTCTTTCTTTCGTTCTTTCTTTCTTTCTTGTTACGTTTCACCTTTTCTTTCTTTCGTTCTTTCTTTCTTTCTTTCTTTCTTTCTTGTTACGTTTCACCTTTTCTTTCTTTCGTTCTTTCTTTCTTTCTTGTTACGTTTCACCTTTTCTTTCTTTCGTTCTTTCTTTCTTTCTTTCTTTCTTGTTACGTTTCACCTTTTCTTTCTTTCTTTCTTTCGTTCTTTCTTTCTTTCTTGTTACGTTTCACCTTTTCTTTCTTTCGTTCTTTCTTTCTTTCTTTCTTTCTTTCTTTCTTTCTTGTTACGTTTCACCTTTTCTTTCTTTCGTTCTTTCTTTCTTTCTTTCTTTCTTTCTTTCTTTCTTTCTTTCTTTCTTGTTACGTTTCACCTTTTCTTTCTTTCGTTCTTTCTTTCTTTCTTGTTACGTTTCACCTTTTCTTTCTTTCTTTCTTTCTTTCTTTCTTTCTTTCTTTTCTTTTACTTTCTTGTTACTTTTCACGTTCGTTTTTTTCTTTCGTTTCACCTTTTTTCTTTCTTTCTTTCTTGTTACATTTCACCTTTTTCTTTCTTTCTTTCTTGTTACGTTTCACCTCTTTTTTCTTTCTTTCTTGTTACGTTTCACCTTTTTCTTTCTTTCTTTCTTTCTTTCTTATCAAATCTCACCTCCTTTTCTTTCTTTTTCTTTCTTTTTTTCATGTCTTATTTCCTTTCAATCTTTCTTTCTGGTAAAACAACTAGTAGCGAGTTTATTTCGGCACAAGACTTTTGAGTTCAAATTATAAGGTAGTTTCGCATGACTGATATGCACAAACTGATTTCTTTTTATCGAGCCAATATCAGTGAACGGCAATAGAAGAACATTTCCACCTCTACTGTCAAGAAATACGCATAGTTTAAAAATGTGCCAACATTCTCGAAATATGTCATGTGAATTTTATTGCTTCCGAATAATCTCTGCTATGGCGACATTTTATTGATAATAAATATTATTATGCCAAAATGTGAAGATTGTAATGTATTGTGTAAGAAAAGCTGTTAGGCTGTCTAGCTGTCTAGAGATCGATAAAAATTGATACTGTAATTCTTACAAATCTTTTTATTCTCCAAACTGAGAAAAGAATATTTAATAATCTTGCAAATAGAGGCCATTTCAATGGTAACTTATTGCTACTTACAATGTTCTGATTATTCAAGTCAATTTTTATGACCTTGTCTAGGAGTGTAATAGCTTTAGTTTTCTATTTGCCGTATGACCATATATATATATATATATATATATATATATATATATATATATATATATATATATATATATATATAGGTTAATGATCAGAGTTGAATTATACCAGGGAACAGTAGTATTAAAAAGTGCTCAATACACGTGAGAAAAAAATATGTAAAAATAAAAATAACATGTAGAGCTTTTAATTTTAAAAATCAGGAGATCAATTAAAATTTGAGACCACGGTTTCGACCTGGTGGTCTCGTCTGGTGTTAATTTCAAAATGGCCACTTTAACGCTTTATTTAAACAAACACCACAAAGACCACTACACAATTATCTTTCAAAAAAATAACAGGCGTATGATGATTGAAAGACAGGGCATTGGGTGTAATGGGAAGGGAAGTGGGCAAGGAAGTGAATGAAAGAATGGAAAGGGACTAGAATGTAAGTGTATTGTAAATGTATACAGTAAAAAGGGAAATCAAATATGGAACTTAATTGTTATTGAGGACGGGGGGGGGGGGCGTCTCTAAAGGATAACAGTGTTTATTTTTATTTTAGATTTTTTTTAACCGGCTTCATATTTTCATATTTACTTAATAAAAATTGTTTCATATGAGGGCAAAGGCTTAAAATTTCTGATTATTGGTTTTAAAAATTTTTGGGTTCGGTAATATCATAATTGCTAATTTCTCATATTAGCATAGTCGGCAAATGCGGGTATAATTGCTATGTTTTTACTTTTTATAAAATTGTCCACCTTACGACCGGGTCCCTGTTATTTTTTTCTTTTAAATTCCACATGTGGCTGGCAAGTTTGGTAGAGTATCTAAGGTTTGGTAGCTTAAAACTTGATGTTTGATTGTACCATCTGCACTTGAAAGGTTCTTCCGTTCAGCCTGTATATGTTTTAATTTGACCATTTATATTTGTTACTTCTGCTTTATAAATAATAGATTGAGTTTTACAAGCTCCATTTAATGGGCCTCTAATTTTATTACTGCAGTTGCATAAATTACTAGTATTATTTTGCTGCACGTTGGTTTTGAGGTTTTATTATTGTATCTAAATTACTTGTGCAGCTGTAGCTTAATTTAACTGTATTTTTATTGAATATCTTATATACTTCTGAATTTTGGGGGAAGTGTTTAGAAAGCAACTTGAAAAATCATTTACCTATATTACATTTCACCTCTAAGTTAAAAGGGGAGTTAAACCAAATAATATTTTTTCTTTTCCTCAAAATGGCTTTCGTATGATGTTTAATGTGTTGAGGTTTAAATTCTAGCTTTGCTTTCTGGCCCTCCGCCTTTAAGTTTTCTCATTCTTTCTTTCTATCCTCAAAAATTGTCTTACAAGAAGAGTTTTTGGATAGCCTACACTCTTTTCCATTGGGAATATGTTTAATCATATTTGGGGGCGAGGACGGATTTAATATTTATGTATCCTAACTTTGCGTTAGGCTTTATGTACAGTGAGAAGGTTTAATTCAACGTCCAGATAGTTAACGATTTTTTTTTTATTTATGTCGACTTCTATTTCAAAGCCGAGGTTTTTAGAGCTTAAAAAGCGCTTTTCTAATAGTGTCATTGGTTCTTTTTTGTTTGGTGCTATCATTAGGCCGTCATCTCTATATAGACCGTAGTTGTTTATATGGACGATCTTGTTAATTTCATATAAAATATACAGAAAAATATACTATTCATTCTGAAATTTCAGCGCCATCAAAGGAACCCTGCAGTACGTCAAATCCGCCTTTTTTCGAAACCGTGGTCGGGTATTTTAATTGACGTCCTGATTTTTAAACTTATATATATATATATATATATATATATATATATATTGAAATTCACGTATGAACCCATGGTACATAACAAGATCTCATTCCTTGACGTTGAGATAAAATCTAACGAATTTACCACTTACATGTATAAAAAAAAACCTATTAGTACGAACTCTTGTTTTCTAAACTATGGTAGCCAATGCCCTGAAAGATATAAAATAGTAGTTATAACAAACATCGTAAATAGAGCATACCAAAATCCCCCCACACAATATTTCTAAACCACGTAAAACAAACACTAGTCAACAATAATTTTCCTAACTGCATCATTGATAAGCAAATAAAATTATTCTTACAAAAAAATACACGACGCCCGTAACAAAAATACAACACCAAAAAACATTAATATATTTTATTGCAATCAGATGCACAATAATTATAGGCAGGATGAATTTGCTATACGGAAAATAATTAAATACCATATTTCTCCTGTAACCTCTGAAAAACATATAAAAGTTCATAATTTATTATAGAAAAGCCTGGTCGTAATCAACCGAAATAACCCGCCAAATCTAAACTAGCGGTGACCAATATGGTGTACCAATTCCAATGCTCATTACAAGACTGTGTTACTTGTCAAAAATCTATTATCTGTATCGCACACACCACTACCTCCTTAAGTAGACGTTTTACATGCCGCCTTTCGAAGCAGAGTTCGATTAATAAACATGCATTAACTCATAATTTACAAGAACATTTAAGGAAATTTCTAGTCGATAACACAAAGATTATTTTCATATCACATATTCGCACACAACTCATCATTAGGGAAGCTTTGCTTATTAAATACCATTATCCCGCTATCAATCTTGCACCACTTAGCAGTGAAGACGGCGTGTTAAAGGTGTTCTAAAAATAGAAATGATGCCCAAGTCAACTGGCTGCGCATAGGAGCATAGCACGTGACCACCAAAAAACATACAATCCCCGCCGCACGGACAGCAAAACTACTATGTAGAATCCAACACACACAAATTCACCATCCAAATCAACATCCATGATAATGGCTAGAGAACTTGCGAAAGCGTGCGGAACAATTAGAACTATTTTCTTTAAGCTCTGAAAAACAGAAAAATGTTAGAATACTGGAAAAACTCAATAAAAGATTAATTAAATCTTCTTTGTCGGCAGTTTTCAATGAAAGAGCCTTGCTGCCCAAATGCACACACACACACACACATACACACGTACACACACACACACACACACACATATATATATATATATATATATATATATATATATATATATATATATATATATATATATAAAAAAAAATCCGTGGGTAAGTAATCCAAGTGAATCCTAATAATGTAAAAAATATTAAAATTCTATCCACAAAGAGAGTTCAAAAATAGAAAAAGAAATATTTTATGGTTTAACCCCGGCTTATGTAGGTTATCCAGAATTAATATTGGACAATTAATATTGGAATTTGTGTGTCGTTCGTATATTTGCATGCTCATATATTCAATCATATTTATGTGTTTGTCTAAAGTTTCTTTAATCTGTAGGAGTTACCTCCTCCTTAGTTCCTTAATTCTTCACCAGGGGTCTCTTTCCACATGCTATAAATACCAGGCGACCTCTTGCCTCTTTTTTCTTCAGGCCTCGTGCCGCATTCCACCTCACGTGGAAGTGAGGTAAATCTCTTTTTCTTCTTCATTTCAGCGACAAGATGTAAGCTCTTAGAAGATCAGCGTTTCCCATTTCTGAAAAACGCTATGAACATTACAAACATTCACCAAAATAACATTCATCAAAGAACACACACAATGTTATGTCTATGTGCCTTGTAATTTGTTTAATACATATTTGTTGATATATATATATATATATATATATATATATATATATATATATATATATATATATATATATATATGTGTGTGTTTGTTTGTCTTCTTTCATCTTCGGTTGGACAAATTAAGTTCGCCAATTTTCATGTAGTTGGATCTCTTAATATACTACCAGGAGTTACACTCGTGTTTCTAATACAACAACACATAAATTCACACACGGTCCTCTACAAATCTTAAAAACCCTTTCTTAACTTTAAAGATTGTATCTCTTTATGAAAAGTTTTCCTATTTGAACAAAAGTTAACATTTTAAATATAGGTCATTGTTAATATTAAACCGTTTTTTAACTTCTGTCTAGACTTGTATATGTTTCTGTCTTCCTACTCCCCCCTCCCCCCACACTTACTATTTTTGGTGTATCTTTTGATTTTGGCTATCTCCCTCTTAAATGCCTTTTCCCTTACTTACGGTTTTTTTTCTCTTTTTCTTCTCTTTTTTCCTCTTTCTTCCAATCCTTTTTAATTTTCAATTTTTTTAAAAAAACGTTACTATTCATTTTTTTTAAATCAATTTTTTTAGTATTAATAAGATCCAGGGAATTTTCTAGGAGAGAGGTGGCCATATAAATGGGATAAAATTGAGTTTTATTTTTATGTAATATATATAGGTCGTCGTCGTCTTTGACAGAACTCGTTGCTGAGTATTGGGGTGCTCATCGACATTTTCTTCTGTGTGAAATGAGTCCTTTGCCGCAGCCACCGCATTGTAGGATAGGAGGGTTCAGGGAATAGAGGGTTCTGGCTTTTCTTTGGGCTCTCTTCATTTCTTCTATTTGTCTTCTGTTATTTTTTTTCGAAGGATGTTGTTTTTCGTGTACTAGTCTTCTGCAATTGGTTCTTTCTGCTGTTTTCCTCTGCCAATTGACTATATTTATTTATGTAGGCAACCTAAAGAATACCTAAGATTTAAAATTAATTTTTTTAAAATGAAAAAATCTTTCTTGAAGCTTTTAAAGTAGTTTTAATTTCAAGCTAATAGATCAAATTTAATACTTCCAAGAAGCAAAATACTTTGATGTATCTCAAAAGAAGTTTAAATTGACTGGGAAGGTTTAGTTTTTCTTTTCTTTTTTTTTTTTGAAATCGCTAAAGATCGGTGAATGTAATTAGCTTCCTTAATAATCTTTCAAAAATAAAATATACTTTCTTGAATTTTATTTCAGAAAGATTAGCTGATTTAAAGTTTAATTAATCTGATTTGAAACAAATATTACTTTTAGTTTATTATCGGAAAAATGCATTTTTAACACAGAGGTCGGTGTTGACGCGTTGACACTTTTACTGACAGACGGATGTTTATCTAATTTTTTTCTACGGTAAACATATCTGTAAATATTATCTGAGGAATATAACGTGAGCGGCCTTTTTAATCTAATTTTTAACTACCTAGTAATCTTAAAAAATAGGAAAGTATTTTCCGTCATCTAATTTTTTATTGAATTTTACGGATTTTAATTTACTATAGTTACCTCTCTTATTTTCTGATAATGCTGTGTATGGTCGTCCGTATTTACAAAAATCGGTGCGTTTATACATACATAAAAAATTAAAATTTCTTTTTAAAATACTGGTGGTCGGTGAATTGTAATAAACCTCTCCATTTATGATTAGTAAATATAGTTTTTACTTAATAACCCAGACCTTAAGTGGAATTCGTATGCACGATCCATCGCTAAAGATGCTAGAAAAAATGATCGGTTCCCTGTACTGCTCTTCCTACGAACCGCTGCTTTAGGGAACCGACTCCCAAGATGATGCTTCCTCGATCAATACAATTTTAACTTGTTCAATTTTAGGGTTAATAGCTATCTTCCCCACATATCCCCATAAACTGTGCCTCTTACTCTGTAACCCTTTACCTCAAGTAGCTTTTGGATCTTGTATAAGGTGAAAATCACCGTAATAAAAAAAAGAAAAAACACAAGAAGTCATATTTGGTGAAGAGAACGCGGGTATTCAGCGCATTAATCATCATCTATGTGCCTCGTCCTTTCAGAATGTAGGCGATCATGGCTCTCCACAATATCCTGTTTTTTTGTTTTTCTTCTGCAATCCATTCATGCAAACCCTTTAAGTAGGTTACACACCGTTTTCCCTTGCTTCATTTCCTTTCAATATGCCTTGTAAGTATTAGATTCTCCAAGCCCTCTCTCCTCATTATGTATCCTAGAAAATTCAGCTGTCTCTTTCTGATTTTAAGTATAAGTGTGCTTTTTTGTTCCTATTTTTCTTAAAACCTCCCTTTTGTTTACATGTCCTGTGCATGATATTCTTAGAATTAATCGGAAACAAACACATTTCTGTCCCTTTAAGTATCTTCTTCATCTTTGATGAGATTGTCCAGCATTCATTGTCATATCGAAAATTCGACATTATGTATTAGTTCATTATTCTTTTCTTTGTTTCTAACGAAATTTTCCTATATCTTAATACTTTGCTTAGCTTATGAAAGGCATTCCAATGGTCCTTTGAATATCCGTATCTCGTTTTATGTCGTCTGTTAATATACCGATATAGTTAAATTTCTGTAGTTGCTTGATTTTCACACTTTGGACTGTCTCTTTTGCTAACAACCATACATCACCAACTGAAACAGTCCGGACAGAACTAATGATCCAATTAGGTCATGGATCTTTTTCCTTATCTTGGAAGCCATCCGTCTTCTAGCATTGACCTTCAAGATGAGATAAAACACCGTCTCAAATGTACAGGATCATCTTTCGTTCCCCTTCGAGATAGTGTTTTCCAAGATCGTGACATCAGAACGGACACCAAAATGTTAGCGTACAAGGCAGTAGTGATTCCAAGTCTCCTGTTTGCCTCTGAGACCTGGCGATATTCTTTGAAAAATCTCACCAGCGTTCTCTTCGAAGTATCTTGAACATCAGTTGGGAAGACAGGAGAACTAACTTCGGCGTCCTGGAACAAGCTAAAATGACCAGCATTGAAACATAACAAAATCAACTTTGATGGAATGGACATCTGATGCGAATACATGACAAACGCTTACCAAAAACAAATCTTTTATTCCCAATTCAAAGAAGGAAATCGGAAAAGAGGAAGTCAAAAGAAGAGATTCAAGGTCATTCTAAAACAAAACATGAAGAAATGTAACATTGACATCAACAGGTGGGACTCCAATGTAATGGAATCTCTGGGGATCCATTGTTAGAGACGGAACAACAATCCCCAAATCCAAATGATCAGCCGAACTATAAGAAAAAAAGGAAACGTCCAAAAGAAAGACAATAACCAGGGTCTAATCCATGATGTCTTCAATGTCGAAGGACCTGTTAAGCAAAAATCAATCTCATTAGCCATTTCAGAGTCCACAAACCCAACCGACTGAAGCAAACACAACAAGGTCATAATTCTCGACCTCGAGTGATAGTCACGAACATTCTACTTTTTTATAATTTATAGTTAGTCCTTTTCATTAGTCCTTTTAGTCATTTGCTTTACTGTCTTGTGTAAGAACTCTCTCAGTTTTCCTTCAGACGCAGTGTCATCTGCGTATCATATTTTGTTAATTTTATGATAAAAAAATATGAAATTCTCGAAGCTTTTCCATATTCTTTTTGGGTCGTCTTGTTGTACAGGAAGGTGAAATAAATCAGGTTAGAAAATTCACCTTTGTCCTATTCCTCTTTCTATTTTTGTCTATTCACTGAATTCATTCTTAATCCGTAATCTGCTGAATCGTGAATTTCTTCTTTATTTTTTTGTCCTCTATTTTTCTTTCTTTCTTTTCTTACATCCTTTCTTTCTTTTTGTTTCTTTTTTCCTTTTCTTTCTCTTTCGTTCTCTTTGCTTAATGTACACACTTAAAAGTTTATGAAGTTAAAAGTAATTAAAATCTACTTAACCATTTCAAGTCCTATATATCTATCAGCATAACATGGATTTGTATGATGGAATGGATTTCCTATTTGTTGGTTGGGTGGGAGAAATAGTAGCGATTTTCTTTCAACACCAAATGTTTGAGACTAAGTTTCTAACGACCAGTATTTGACAAGTTAACAGCTACGCCTACACATACAGGTAATCTCATACAGCCACGCCTACACGTACAGGTAATCTCATACAGCCACGCCTACACGTAAAGGAAATCTCGTAATCAGTGGTGGGATACAAAAATTTTAAGAACGGGTTCTCTCAACAACAGGTCTAAATGGTAACGGCTTTGCTCATCTTTCCATAGTCTATACTTTACTATAGAGATATAATTTAGGAATAAAGCAAGTTTTTCTTGCCCTTATTAAAAAGAAAACAACATTAATCTGCATTACATGCCACGTTATCATTTTGAAAGAAAAATAATTAAAAGAAATGCTTTAAAATTTTTATTCATGATCTTTCATTATCTGTCTATATTTCTGAGATGAAGTATTATGTGCACTATTTACATTATTCGGACTATTGTCCTCATCTTTGTCGCGATATTTATTATAACGTTTCGGCCTTTCAGTATCTGTATATATTTCTAAGATGAGGTATTATGTACATTATTTACATTATTCGGACTATTGTCATAATCTTTGTCGCCATATTTATTACAACTTTTCGGCCGTTGTACGCTCCGGCCTTCTTCAGGTGGTTGGAATGTCAAACTGAACCCTTTATTTCGCTCACTGGGGTAGACTTCTAGTTCCGCATGCCATGTTTAAGGACACATGGCACGGTGGATAAAGGCGTTGGTTACATCCAGTTACAGGAACCCAAAGAGTGTGAGTTCAATACCAGGTTAGGGCAGTGGAGAACTTGGAGAGGGGAATTAACAGGAGATAATTGATAACTGACATCCATTAAATATGGCACGTGGAACTAGAACAGTCTACCCCAGGGTTATAGTGGAACACACCTATTCAATAGTTAATAGACTCTCCCACTTATAATAAGTAGGAGTAGTAGGAGTCGCTCAGTGAGTCAGTCGACTGGTTGATCGGTTAAACTCTCTACCTTCGGGCGGGGAGGAACCCGAAAGAGGCTACGCCGAAGGGCGGAGTCTCTTTTGGGGAGGTAAACCGACCCTGAACCCGTTTATACCCACGGGCTCGGAGATCCCACGTTAAACCGGCCTTGTGCCACATGATGCCCTCGTCGGGGGGGTGACTAAATACCGTTGGTCAGTGAGTCGATGCCGGACGACCGTTAGTCGGATATTAAAGTATCAGCCACCACAACTAGATTTCTCTGCGTCATTACCTATTATATCAAGTTCCTAACGTTTTGTACGTCGAACCTATTTTAGGACCGACTTAGTATAAATACAAGCCTCCACTGTGAAACCACTCTACAACACCCAGTGAGCGAAATAAAGAGTTCAGTTCGACATTCCAACCACCTGAAGAAGGCCGGAGCGTACAACGGCCGAAACGTTGTAATAAATATGGCGACAAAGATGAGGATAATAGTCTTCAGCTCTTTTGCCTCACTCTGTTGTCATCAACACTGTGATTTTTT